AGCAGCATGCCCCACACACAAGTATCTCTTGCAATGACAGCACATATGTTTTATTTTCTTGTCCTTTCCTGTAGGGCACAGTTGACATCTTTTTGGTCTTCCTGTACCTGTCCACCTATCAGCTTGCCAGTGTGCTTCACCATTTTTTGACATAGTCTCATGGGAAGAAACAGTTTACTTTTCCTCTGCTGTAAATGACGTCTTATAGGGGAATGAAACGCCCAACCTACTATGTCCACGAACTCGTGTTCCCTAAAACCGAAGAATGAATTTTAGCAACTACAGAGGTTAAGAGCAGAATATGTTTATTGAGAGAAAGAAACCTTCGGCTGAGAGACAGAAGGGGTCCCAAGTGGGTTTCCAAGGACTCTGTCATTTTAGGGATTTGTGTAGAGAAGGGAAAGATTGGAACTCCCAAGGCAGATGTGGATAAGGTGGGACATACTATAGTTGGCCAATAAGATCAATAGTTTAAGTAAAATTAATTATATTAGGGACAAATGGGGAAGCGAGTCGCGTAGAAAGCAGGCATTATTACAGAGCAGTGACTCTTTCCTAGGGGGATGGGAACTATTTAGGGTACCAATCCCAGGATGTGGGTGCATTTGTATGGTCTTTTGTCTTCAGGCCTGGCCCACAGCAGGAGACATCAGTTTATGTTTGCACCGGCTCCATTGAGGATCTAGCCCTGTCTCACTGCCTGTGTTCCTAACTAGCTCAGCTGCCTGCAACATTATGAGTTCCAGTTCCAATCTTCTAACAAAATTTCTCTGTGGTATTTTGCACTTGTTAATTTTTTTTTTTTTTTTTTTTTTTGTAAACTAACAAACTACTTATGCCACACATGATTAGGATCGAGTAAAAGACAACCATGGCCAGCACTTTGTGTTTCCAGTGACATCATAGCTGCTACCTAACTCATCATCTATTCCACCTTTGGTTTTGTTATAGAACGTTTCCATCTCAGGCTTTCATTTGGTCAATATTTCCCCATCAGTTTTTCCACCACCGTGCAATGTTGACATCAGCAGTATGAGTTTGTTTTTCTTTGCTACACATGAGGCCAATGTAAATCTTTCTGAAATCTAAAGATGTACTCTACAATTCTCTGTTTCATCTGGAATTTCTGCTTTGTTCCTACATGCAGTTCCAACCTGTGCTCTGTTAGCAAATGTAACCTCAGTTGGAAATGGGTAAACCAACTGTTGAATGTCACATTCCGGGTTAGTTTGAGAGATGGGAATGGTGAGTGTGTTCACAGCATCATTTGGTTTATGACACTATGAACAAAGACCTTCTGGTTGAGTTCCAGGGTAGATTTCTAAACTGAAAGCATAGTAAGTCTTCACATCCTCAAGAGCATACATTTTTATGCCATATTTGAAGATTTTTGGGAAGTGTATCACCTGAAGCTACAGCAACCATGGAATGTTGCAAGATGTTTGTCAATCGTTGTGTAGTCAGATGGTGTGTAAATACCTTGACAATTATCCACAAGTCTTGCCAAGTGGATAGCAGCCAGGTTATCAGTTCTTTTTTCTTTTTTTCTAGAGGGGTGGTTTTGTCATCAAACCTCAGGTAATTCTGAAGTAAACCAAGTCCTCTCAAGGTCATTGTTGTTCTATAACCTCAATGCTACACACACTGCTTTTTCATTCCTACCATGACCGTAAGAAAGATCGCTTAGAACCCAGACAATGAATGCTTTCAGTTCAGCTAGTCAGAAGTCATGAGTACTTTGTTAGTACGGCTATTGGTGCACTCAGAACATTTTACTGGTATTGCAGCATTTGTGTGTTTGTCCATCCTGTAGCAGTTCATTAGAAATAATTTCCAACACTGAATGGCAGTGCTGGTATTCTGGCCAATAGGAGTCACCCCTGCCAAGACCCTCACTATAGTTTTGGACCCAGTCCTAATATTGGATCATTCCATTTTGTTGTATGACCATTTTGACTAGTCAAATACGTACTCACAGTGTTGTTTTCTTTTCATCTGAATCCAGGAGGTCTGCATTCCCTGTGTTTGTATCTGTTGATTCTTGCTCCATTTCACTGCCACGGGAACTTTAAGTCACAAGGCAATGTCAAAGCCTGTATCATCTTTATCATCTGTGCATCGATGATCTGATGATTCACTTTTGAGACCTTCTCCAAAACTTGGAAATCTCTTTTTTTCATGTGGCATTGTACTGAATTGGGCTACTTTTTCCAGAAAAATCAAAAGAAGTCTTTTTTAAAAAAAAAATCCTAAATGCAGAGCAAGTTAGCAATGAGGACTTTATGGGTAAAACTTACCTGTTGTAGTGCCTGTACACATCTTGCCGTTCATCTTCCAAGTAGGTGAATATACAGACTTTTTTTCTTTCCCCAGGCACAGCTTCTATGAGTCCCACCCACATTCGATTATGGTAAAGCATGTTTACACAGCAGAATGGTCTGGCTATATTTTACCTTCTATGAGGCTCAGCTAAACATACAGAATCTGCTAGACAGATCATAAATGTGAGTAAAAAAATCCCTATTTGACACTTTTGCACACATGTATACTTCTTGTTGTTTGTCATACGAAGTAGATAAACACAAAGATTACCTCGTGTATCCTCCAAGTGCTGTTATGGAGATGCACAGCCAGCTACTGTTAAGCTAAAATTCTACAAATTTACAGTAAAAATTATGGAATAAATCATCATAACCTGGTATTATGCCCCTAATATAAATGAGAACAAATTTTAAAATTTATGACATAGAACACTATCTTTTATGTTCTTATTTCACATACTTTTTGATCTTTACATTTTTATAACCAAATCCCTTTGTTTTGGCTCAATTATCTAAAATTTGACTTTAATTATAAATATCTTTAGATAGTATAGATTTATTACCTATGATATCATATGCAGACTCGTTGAGGGGCTTATGAATTGTATAGTTCTTTAACAAATGCTTTACTTTTTGTCTGGCATGACACACAACTTTATAATGTAATTATTTAATTTCACAAACTGATTTCATTAGAAAGCTATAGGGCTTATTCAATATTTGGAAAAAATTAATAACAAGATAAAAATTTATTTATAATTTGAAGTGATGTGCATGTTAGAGATAGAAACCAAGACCAAAAAATTCTAGGCTCATTTCTCCAAGCTACACCAAATATGTAATGTTTTCTATAATTTTTAATGATTTGGAATGTAAATTTTGTACTTGTTCACACTATAAATCAAGAATAATAATAATTATTTTAGGTTATCTATTCTCAAAGGCATCTAAACTAAATCTTTAAAAAGAAAATTTTTTGAGAAAGAGAGCCATTCTTGAAAAATTCATTAATACTCCAGTGTCAATCTAAAGCAAATTATGAGATTTTTAAATATACATACTACTAAAGTCACACTTAATTAACTATGATACATTTAAAACTAAACTCTCTTTTTCTTTGAGATGGAAGTCTCAGCAAGTCAGTAAGTTGCCCAGGCTAGGCTTGAACCTGGAATCCTCTGGCCTCAGTCACACTTAGTCCTAGAATTTTAGGCATGTGCCACCACTCTTGGCTAAGACTAAACTGCTTTTTAAAGTAATCTTGCCCATTTTATTAAAACTTTTTAAATGTATTACTTATTCACAAAAACAATACCTAGTCTTATGCCAACTAATCAAATTTGTTAAATGTATTAATAAAATGCTTTAAAATGATAATATGAATAAAAGCTCTTGTAAATAGACAATTGTTTACCAGTCTTTAGTGCTATAAAACTTTCTTTTTTTTTGGTCTTTTTCCTTTTTTTTTTATCAGTACCGGGGATCGAACCCACGACTGCCTGCTTGCAAGGCAGGCGCTTATGCCGCTGAGCTAAATCCCCAGCCCCTATAAAACTTTCAAGTACAGGTATATTGTTATCATTTCTCAAGGATGTGAAAATTGTGCAGTCGTAAACTGAAAGATTTCTTCCCAGGACTCTGAAAATCACACACAGCAGTTTGGTAAATACATGTCTGAGCACTGCTCCAAGTTCATGAATTCATAACTTGCTATGAGTGTTTGAAGCATTCTTGTTTTGGATTTGTTTGGTTAGTTTTGTTTTTTGGAGACAGGGTTTCACTATGCAGTTCAGCTTGGCTTTGAACTGACTGTGTGGCCCAGGCTGGCCTTGAACTCATGGTGATCCCTGGCCTCAGCCTCCTGGGTGCTGAGATTGTAGGACTGTGTCACCGTGCCAGGCTTGAACCACTCTTCTAATGCAAAGGGATATGGTGTGTATCTACAGTCCATATAATGACTGTTTCTTTTTTTTCTCACCGACTTTGTTGGTTCTATATTTGGATTAAATTACCAAAAAGCCTGGAAAGTGGAAAGACAGACTAGCATCCAGGAAGCTAAACACTGAGGAAATGCTGCATCATATGATTTTGACTGACAGATACAAATAGCCACTTTATGAAATGAGGACTCCTGGTATAGACACGGCATGCACTCTGTCTTTTGTTACTATCTCCTGTATGGAGTGTTGGCCATTCCTAAGTACTGTGGTCTCTACGTGGTATATTATTATTCTCTGAAGTTTAATTCAGTATATGTTTTACTATCTGTGATGAGCAAAAACTATTGGAATGTTCACTAAATCAAGTTTTTCTCCAAGATTCACTACATCAGATACTCACCTGTCAACCAGAGAGCCCAGTGTTTGGCACAGCACAGGTATTCCACAAACTATTTAATTTCTCTCTCCTTTCCTAAGCCTTCCTGTTATCAACCCTCTGTGAAATAAGGTAGACAAGAAGACTGAGGAGAGGTTTAGTGGCACATACCTGTAATTTCATCATTCAGGAGGCTGGGGCAGGAGGATCAACAGAGTTTGCGGCCAGCCTGGGCTACATCATGAGTTCAGGCCCAGCCTAAAGTGCACAGTGTCTCAAAATAGTATTTTTTAAAAAAGATTGTATCATTTATGTATTGTAATTTTAAACATCAACTTTTAGAAAGAAGAGGCACTTTAGAAATCTATGAAAGAATTTTTATTAAAAAATTTAGATAATACAAAATAGTCTGATCACAGAAGAAATTGTAAGTATATCCTTCAACAACTAACTTTAGAATGAAATTAACATTTAATAAGGATGTATTGTCAGTTGGGCTCCAAATTTTACTTGGGATAAAATGTCATAGTCCTATCATTGACTCAGCTATGTTTTACACACCTACTTTTATGGAGCAGAAAACTAAACTGTTTATCAGGACAAAAAAGGTACATGAACCTTAATACCAACAATCTTTAGAAGTTATGAGAATTGCAATATAATTTTAATAACATAACTTTCAATTACATAGTCTAGAATTAACAGTGCTCGGGATAACTAGCTGTAATGTCTACTAAATGCCATTGGCTTGACCTTTGTAAACAAGTGTACAATCAAGTTAAATTAGATACTCAACACTCTCCTACACATAATCTTGGGTATACGCCTTCATTACTTATGTAGTATTGCCACTCCTAAAATATAAGGCACATTCATTTTCAAATATTGAGCACAAAATGCATTCTAAACTCGAGCAATATTTCTGTTTCTCTGAGCACTGTTTATACATACCAATGTAACATAAACATACACTTATGAGAAATATTTCACATACAGAAACATTACATATTAATCACTTACTGATATGCTCTTCTTAATTAAAATAAAGATTACCAAGGAAGAACTTGAAATTATTTTCATTAAATATTTTTATTTTTAACATGAGTATTATACCCATAGAACCAGCCTATGAAGGTAAAGACTCACTGTGAAATCAAATGCCCTCAGGCTTCCCCTTAGTTAATGTATTTACAGATTAACGAGAAACCCAAGAAAGTAAAAACAAGATGAAAGTCTTTAAAAAGTGCTATAATTTCTTGGTTCAGCGGCTTACACCTGTAACCCAGCTATTGAGAAGACTAAGGCAGGAAAACCACAAGTTCAAGGCCAAGTTAGCAAAGTCCCATCAAAGAGTGAAAAGAGCTGAGGATGCAGCTCAGCCCTCCATGGGACCAGTTTTCAGTACCAAAAAACAAAACAAAGAAGCAAAAAAAGACCGTATTATTTTTCACAAAGGTAAGATTTAAAGTATTATTCTAGAAGGTAAGCAGGGATACAGAAAAGAATAAAACAAGAAAAATAAAGCAATATATTTAGGAAGTGTTTCTTGGAGATGATACCATTAAAACACTTGCAATTCATCATTATTGTTTGAAGAATTCATACTCTTCTGTATCAGTGTCCCAGTGTAGCAAAGGCAAATTCTGTGATTACGTATTTAATGATTTTTAGGGCATCAATATCCATGATACAGTAATAGATAAGGCATTCGTCTTAATATATTTGTAAATTGAACTCAGAATTTTAAATAGGGCTTGTACTAGACTTTATTTTTACAAATAAAAATAGCACTCAATTTCACAAATAAAATATTTTTATAGTCTACATCTTCATTTTATGGCTTCCTACTGTAAAACTTTACCTGGGTATTGATGCACCTTGACTTCATTATGCTAACCAGCATTCATGTCAGTGCTGGAATACTAGCAAAATAGCTAAGCCTTATGCTGAGTCAAATACCTGTTGAAGTAATTGCTTTCTGAAATTAGTCAATGAAATAAAAGTTACTTGCAAACACAGAATAAAGAACATGGCTCTTGGGCTCAGGATGCAGCTCAGTGGTGGGTGTTGGCCTAGTTGTACAAGGCCCCAGATTTGATCCCTAGCATTGAAAAAAAAAAAAAAAACAAAATCAAAAAACTAACTGAACAACAACAACAACAAACCCAAATGCAAATCAAACAGCTCAAAAAGTGCATATATGAGTCTGTTCGAGAATTTTAAAAAATAAAAATTTTAAAAAGGCAATCCTGAAATTATAATTTACAGACTTTTAAAAAACAAGAATAATCTAAAACTTTTCAATAAATTCAGGTGTTATTTTCTAAAAAGTCTCTTTCTTGATTTAACTTACAGGGAAAACATGCTCTCAGTTTTTAAAAAAGCTTCATTAAAGATTGTTTCTCAGGTTTAAAAAAATTCCAATATATATAACTAAAGTTAGTTGCTAACATTTTCTAGAGGCCTACAGAGAAATTTGTAAGAATATAACTTTGTTTAAATTTAGCACCATGTGTAAACATAAAAAACACTTAAGCTAGTTATTAAAAATGATATATTCACTACAATCTATTTATTTATATAGTGCCAAAGTTTAAGCCCAGGAAAATAAATTACTTGATGTGTTCATACAACCATAATGAAGAATTCTGGCTATCTTACATTTTCTCTTTAAGACAGAGATGTTTCAAAGCTAGAGAAAGGCCTGAATTTGGTTAAATAATTGAAGTAAATGTAAGAAAGAGTCACTAGTACATTTTTACAAAGGCCTAATACAGGAGTGACGGTCCCCAAAGCAATGATTAAACTAAATCTAACAAAAACAAAGGGTAAGTCCTGGAGCAGGATGCTCAAGGAATTGAGAACAGGATTTTGAGGAGTGAATATCATTCGAACCACAGAAAGAAAACTGAATATGTAGACTGGGTACAGCCAGCCTGACTTGTACACGCTGGAGTTACCAGCCACACGCACCATCTCTATTGTATCAGACCACCACAGAAAGCTCCAGAGGACTATCACTGCCCGGGCATCTCTCTGAGACATTGTCTTCAGGATCCCAGATTCGAAGGAGGGCTCCCGGGGTCCCAGGGCGACGTGGCTCAGCCGCTGTGATAGTCCGGTGGTCTTGGCTGCCTGGGAAAGTGCAGGGTTTCCTTCACTCTGTCCCACTTGCTCGGTCACAGTTTTTATTTGTTGCAAAGTGGTTGTGTGGATGTACCTGTCTTCGTTACCTGTGATAAATTGATGTATGTGCATTTTTAGTATTAAAATAAACATTTTTAATTTAAAATTTAACAAAATTCAAATGAAAGTGAGGAGTAAATTCTGTGGGTTCTCTTAGTTGAGGCCTATATCCTCAACAGTGGAAATGGAGAAGGTTCTTGGTGTCTTCTATGTTCCTGGCTCTAGATCTTAAGAAATTTTTAGTATTTTACAGTAAAAGCTTTCACTGGTCACTGAATTAAGCATGATTCACACATTGTCTCATTCAATGGTGGGAACATAGAGTTTATTATGACATTTTACAAATACGGAAACAGAGGCTCTCAAGGTTAAATGATGCCCAGATTCATATTTGGAAATGGGCAGAGCTGGAATTCAACACCAAAGGTTGTTTAACTCCAGATGACAATCCATAACTTTACAACTGCCACCAGCCAGATATTGTGGGCCACTTACAAAACACAGGTGTGTCATAAAATCAAATGAATCTAAAACTTGACCAGGATAGCCCTGTCATTTTGTAAGATGACGCAGGTTCACAGGGATCAGTACTCCACAGATCTCTAGGTAGAGAATTTAGCGCTCAGAGGGAATCTATTTGATCACTGGAGAATCATAATGAAGAATAATATGCTGAATTCAAGATTTCTTTTTCTCATGACTAGGAATGGAACTCAGGGCCTTTGCACTGAGCTACTTCCCCTGACCTTTTTATTTTTTATTCTGAGACAGCATCTTGTTAAGTCACTAAGTTGCCCAGGGTAGGCTCAAACTTGTGATTCTCCTGCCTCAGTTTCCTCAAAGTGCTGAGACTGCAGGTGTGTGCCACCACATGGGGTTGAATTTAAGACTGATAAACTGTTCTTCATCAAAGGTTTTTGAAGTGGCAAGTAGGATTAGTTGGTCAAGGGATCTCTCCTGTGGTCATGAGATTATACACTAGTCCTCTGAAAAACGAAGGCATCGGACTTGTTACCATTAGGGATGTGTGTGTGCATTTGTGCATGTGTGTAGGTGCATGTGTGGGTTTTCAGTCCTCATTGTATGTATATCATATTATTCAGGTTGGAAATTACTAAGGAACTCTCAAGACCTACAGTGCTCCTGATGGAGTTGTGTTTGTTGAGTTGTTGTCCAACAAACTACCGAGGATGGAATCTAGGTTCTATGCGATTGGGTAAGTACTGTACCGCTGAACTATGCTCCCAGCCCAAAACCATTGTTTTTATATATGAAAGGTATGGCACACTTCCTCAAACAATTATTCACTTAAACATCATTTTTTTTTTGCTAAAAATTTATCATTTCTGACAAAGTTTATTCTGGAAAATGCTAAGCCACCGTATTGTCTGATGAGAAAGAATTTAAAGAGAGTCATTATTTTGAATAGCTCTAAAGGTTAGTCAGTAAACTGTACTGAGCTGAAAGTGAAAAAAATTTAAAATAAACTACAATTCACAAGTAATAAAATGTTTTGTTACAATAAATAATGTTTGCGTGAAGGACACAATAAACTTCACTAGTTTTTACTTACACAATTAGTTACTTAAAATGTAAAAATAAATTGAGTATTTTTGAAAACTAAAAAATAACTTAAATTCTCAATGAAACATTATTTCAGATATGAATCATTCAAAACTAAATGCCAAGATTCATGACTTAAAACCTTTATAATAAATCATAGTGGCCTGAATAGTTATGATTTTAACAAACAATACTCAAGTAAAAAATAAAATCATATTACTTTTAGATTCCCCAGGTGTGTGGCACACATCTGTAATCCCAGCACGTGAGAGTTTGAAACTGGGGTAGGAGGGTTGCTTTGAGTTCTACACTAGCCTGGGCTTCATAGTAAGTTCAAAGCCACCTACACTGCATAGAAAACCTGTCTCACAATAATAATAATAATAACAATAAAGGAAATCATCTCTTTTTCAATTTAGATGCTCACTGCATCTCTATTTTTAAAAACTTCAATATAGAATATATGTTTTGTAGAGTATGGACGTTGTGACCTGGAGAAATTCCTTTACTTCCCTTAGCAGACAAAGCCATTTGAACAAAAATCCAAATCCTCTTGCCAACACTGACCATGGACACAGAATATAGTTTAGGATTTTAAAAGATGATTGCAAATTCAGCATTTAGGAAGTGACCCACTAAGAAGTGACACGTTAACATTTTCCTACACAGTCTGAGAATAAGACTTGTTGGTGTGAACGATGAATTCCCAGCTAGAGTTTGGTTTTGGTGAGAAAGCACGTCCCAGTTCACGTGTAATTGATGAAGTTGGGGTGGAAACTTCCTGTCTGTATGACTCAACAAGGCCTTGCTTAGGTTTGGGAGTACAGAGACTATGAACTTTTTAATGCAGTGAGTAGCCCTAGTTTAACTAGAAAGTGCCACTGGCCTCCCAGAGTCAAAGGAGAGACTGAAAAGTCAAGAAATCTTTTGGTGATTGGATTAGACCAGTAACCATAACTTTGAGCGACATAAATATTCATGCAGTCAATAGTAGGCTCTTGTGATTAGTTTTCCCTCCAAATTAGTACTTTTTAAATTTCTACTTATAGCTGGGATTCTTCTTGTTGTTATTTGTTCTGTTTTGGTAAAATGATATGGAGGTGCACAAAAACTATAAAAGGTATTAGTTTAAAGAGAGAGCAATGCACTCACTCCCAGAGAGGCACACAGTGCCCTCTTCAAGCAAGAAATAGCTGCTGCTCTGTGAAGTTCCTACACTGGCTGCCAGCTTCTGAAATAACTCATCTTTCTTCACTGAGCAAACTAAATAATGCAGAAAAATATTTTTCCATAACAGACAAATGTGTAAGTAAATATAGTAACTCCTACGAATTTTACTTTACTGTTTGCTTCTATTGACTTGTTTCTCTCTCTAACATGTTCCCTGGAGAGTTACCATTAGGCACACAGGGAATAGATACAATCCCACAGAACAAGTCGGTAGAGAGACAGTTTCTAGGTGACCACGCTGTCCTCATACAAAGAGGTCAAGAGGGCCATGCCCTATCTAAATAAAAAGGAAGATCACAAGCAAAGGCACCTAAAAACACATCACAAGGAGGATGCTCTTAATGAACTAGACTCCCAAATGCCGGTTAGGAGCAGGCAAATATGAAAGGGTTGTGCCACACCTAAAGTAGATGTCAGCAAACAGTGTACCAAGTAGCGTAGAAATGTTTCCATTGTCTTCCACTTCCTGTACTCAGACCACGAAGTAAAGAATAATAAATGGTGACAGGGCTTTAGAAAGAAAGCACAGTATTGGGATCTGGAGCCCTCACAGGAAGTCAGATGCATGGATGCTCGGATTCTTATGTGAGACTCTTGCATGTAGCTCTTTCCCCCATAATGGTGCACATGAATGTCCTGGTTGATGCACATCAGTAATACTGGAAAGAGAGGCAAGTGCCAGCACCTTATGAGGCCATGCTCCAAAGTCATTGTCTGATTTCTAACTGTGATGATGAAGCACGGTTACACTGGAAAATCTGAAATCACTGATGATCACAGGGTTGGGAAAATTGTTGTGAACCTCACAGGTGGGTTAAACAAGTGTGGCATGATTAGTCCCCAGTTTGATGCACAGCTGAGAGACCCAGAAAAATGGCAGAATAATCTGCTCCCGCCTGTCAGTTTGGTTTCATTGTACGGACAATCTCAGTTGGCATCATGGGCCATGAGGAAGCATGATGAAAACAAAAGAAGAAAAACCCTGGGATTCTTTTTCTAAGGATGTGCAACATGAATAAAATGCCTCAGCAGGGGAAAATATTTTTTCCCATGTAGTTCTTTTTTAATTTAAAAAGATAAAAGCAATGCTACAAAGTCTCAAAACAAGATAGGAGAGTAACAATGCTTAATACATTGTGTATTGTAATCTTCAAAGTAGTTGCTCATATGACAAGACATAGGTAAGAAAAATCAATCAAACAATATAGGCACAAAACTTCCTTTTCGATAAACTAAATAGAAATTAGTAGTATAACTATCTTAACGATCTTGTATATATGTAATATATATTTTTTTCCTTTTCTGTTTCTTCTTTTCTCCTGTCCTCCTTCCCAGTTTCTCTTTCCTTTTGAACATTTTTTTCCATGTCACTATATCTACTGTACATTTTGGATCTTACTTACTCTTATCATTTCTTACAATAGGGAGTAAAAACATGTTTACATATGTGAGTCTGATTTCTTTCACTTATGAGTATGGTCTCAAGTTGCGTCCATTTACTTATGAAAGTCTCAAATTTATCCTTCTTTATAACTGTGTAGTACTGCACTATATAAAAATACCACATCTTTTTTTAACTATTCCTCGGGTGATGGGCATTGCCCCATTACAGTAAATCACCGTAGACTACTTATAGTCTCTAATATAATGTAAATACTATATAGTGTGCTATACTCTTTAGGGAATAACGAGGGGGAAAATTGGTACACATTTAGTACAGATGCACCAATCCACACTCAGCTAGATCTGTAGAAGCTGTGAGGGCCAATGGTAAATTCTGTGACAAAAATTATCAATACTACCCCAAATTAGTCAAGAGAGGCCCATCTGAGAAGTCAGAGTTAAGCAGAGATGGGGAGGATAAGGAACTAGCTAGGTGATGAATGGATAAGAGAGCTTGCCAGGTAGTAGAATTGAACATGTGAGGATCCGTCAGCAATCACAAGTTGAAGGAGAGCTTGGAGAAAGGTTAGGAAGGCAGACAGAAGAGGAAGCAGAGAGGCACAATAGTCACTAAGTGCTTTCTAGTTACTAGGGTCCATTCTAAGGCTTTTCTATGCATTACGTCCTTATTAAAGTCCTGGGATGCAGACTCTGTTGGTTATCTGTTTTAATAAAAACCAAACATAGGCATGGAGAGATAGAGAATGACTTCCAAGGTCACACAGCCAGAAGTAGAAAAAGCAGAACTTGAATCCCCAACCGTTAGCCATCGTAACCCCAGTGACTGTAACAGAATCGGATGAAATAAACC